TTAAACCTGGGGGATCTCACAGGTGTTGGTTGGCTATGTGGAAGTTGGGGACCAAGGCATCTGGAAGGCACCAGGTTGGGGAAGGCTTCTCAAAGCCAGCGAAGGTCTCAACAACCAGCACTTCCTCAATACCTTTCAGAGAAACATCCTGCAAAATTGTAGGAGTCAGTCAAACTCTTGAACGCTATCTTGGGCACTCTGCTTTCTTAAGTACAGGAAAGATCATTATGGAAAAGAGCATTCCCCATATAGCTCCTTTGCCTGCCCCCTAAAAAAAATAAAATAAAGAGGGACAATCATTCGTGCTTCAACCCGTTTTACTGATTTTTGCATGCTACAAAAACAGCTTACATGTATGAGGATGCATGGAGGCCTCAATTTAAAGTTCAAAAATTATGTAGGCCCTAACTATGTGTTTTGAAATCATGAGGGCTCTTGTGGTGGACCTTACTCCTAAAACTTGCTTAGATGTGAACCATGCAGTGTATGCTTTGTGGGAAATGGTCTGAATTTGTAGGAATTAGAGCAGACTTAGCCCACTGCTGGAATACTCCCCCCACTGACCCTTCCTAAATTAAAACTTGGTCTCTGGGCAAAAAAAGGGGGGTGGCATGGGATCAGCACTCCTAATTTAAAGTGATGGGTCAGGGTCAGGTCAACTGCTTTTTCACTTGTGTTGTATTCCTAGGGCTTTGTTTTGGTTCTCTGATCAATACTTTGTCCTAACTGTGAACTGAAACATTACAAGCAGTTTAGAATTTACTTCTGATAGACTCTCCCAGAAATGGACAGAGGTGGGCAGTAGAGAAGAGCAGTTTCATGTGACTCTCTGGATATCACATTTTGTAATGCAAATATCAATGGATTTAATCCCATAAATCTTAAGGGAATAGATGCTTGTTCAGGCCTGCACCACCTTAATAAATTGAAGTGCAGATTTTAAAGGTCTAGAGAAATCCAAAACTCACTGTTGTCTCCGTATTTGTGCTTTCTAAAAGCATCCCATCTTTCTTAGACATTCACGGATTGACAGCTGGCCCTTTTCACAAGGCATATTTAATGCTGAAATGTCAAAGTAGAACAGTATTTGCCTATTTCTGATGCCTCTTCAGCAGGGATAGGAAATGTGTGGTCTTCCAGATCCTGTTGGACTGAAACTCCCATCATCCATCAACCTGGCTGAGGTTGATGGAAAATGCAATCCACCAGCATCTAGAGGGCAACATGTTCCACACAACTGCTCTATAGGATAAAAATTGTAATTATTTCTCATACTTTAAATTTTTAACAAGCAGAAATTTATTTTGAACCCAGTGAGGTGTTTGTCCAAAGCTGTTGCCTGCCCACCCAAGATAAACTTGCTCCTGGCAGTCAGATTTGCAATTGCTGTTCAAAAGTTGAGGGAAATAGTTGCTGAGGTTAATCTGGAGTGAAATGTAAAGATGTTATGATACAGCATTTATCGATTATAGTCCACTCCTATAAATCCAAGAGAAAAGCATATTGATTTTACTCCTGTGAATTCCAGAGGTGCTACAGTATAGCGGTTTAAAAATCAACACCACACTGCTGACAGCACGTTTCTCTTGCTTTATTTACAGCATATGACTGTTCTAATGACAGCAGTTGAGACGAGAAATACAGAAGAGAAACACAATTCGAGTAGATCATTCCAGTGGGTGGGTCAAGAGATGCATGCCTTCATGGCAGAATCTTGTGGAAGATCATGCCTGGTTTCTACAACAACCAGTTCTTGGATACTTGGCTCCAGCTTCCCATCAGCAAGTCTGCTCAGCACTACTTTTTTAACAGCGGGAAGCACCATGATTTTTGTGCTGATCTTTCATCATCATCATCAAAGAGCATTTGTGCAGAGCTGAATTGGGGAGCTGAGAAAGGGATGCAGAGGGGCTATTTAACCATTCGCCCCCACCCATTGTTTACCTGCAAGCAGGATGGAGAGTTACAGGGACTCTTGCCCAGGGGTAATATGTTTTTACCACTAAAGCAAAGGCTGGCAACTTGGTGTCCTTCTGATCTCAGAGTGACCCTCCCCATCAGGCCCAGCCAGCATGGCCAACAGCAAGGGATTCTGCAAATTACAGTTCAGCACACCTGGAGGGTGCCAGGGTGGCTACCTCTGCATGAAAAGCACAGCCAGTCCTGGAGTTGCAACAGGTGTGTGGGTAACATGCTTCTCGAGGACAAAAAATTGTCTCCACTTTACATCTTGTAGAGTTGTTCACCCTGCATTTTTCAAATGTACATGAATATATACCAGATGAGCATATACACGAGTGTGAATTTATAATCAGCCCAGAGACTGTGCTTTACTGTATTATCCCCAGCTAGTCTCTATCTGCAGGTTTACAGTCTGCGGTCAAACACAACAAGGTGTGCTTTCTTACAGATATTTCCAGCCATGGTTTGAATGCTTATACTAAAGAGCACCCAAGCTTCCCCACCCACCCCTAAAGCACACACTTCTGTTTATACTTATTTACAAAGCACTCCTAAATAGAGGAAGAAGGAATAAATGTAAGTGGAGAGCACCTGGACATGTGATGGAGGAGGAGCTTGAATGCTAGAGTGGAGGTATGCTGGACACTTTCGGAAGCACCGGCTGTGCTTTTTTGATACCCTTCACATCTTGTTCGACTGCAGCTCCTGTAATCCTCAGCAGTGACTATGCCAGCTGGAGCTGATGGGAGCTGCAATCCAGCAAGATTTCAGAAGTGCTGTGCCTGCAGCCCGTGTTAGAATGACGCAGCCGGGGCTGCTGCTACGAGAGCAAGCCAGAGGCGGCTCCTAAGTGGTCAGCAGCTGTGTGGGCCAGTAGGGCGGCAGCAGAAAGCTGCTGAGGAGGAGGTCCGGCACGGCACTTCCATCCTTACCTAGATGAGGTTTTAAGCTGGCACTGCCGGAGCTGCGCCACAGCCCAGTTCACACATAATACACATCCACCGAGAGGGCATTTCCCCCCGAATCCTCGTGGCAGCAGTCGCCAGGGGAAATCCTCCGGGCTCACCCCAGCCAGCCAGTTCATGCCGGTCTGGTGAGGGCAGTTGCCGGGGTGGCTGGCAAGCCACCTGCAGCTTTACAACTCCCCACGGGCACTGGGTTCCCTGACCCGCACATTATGCTGGAGAGAATTGGGGTGGAGTCCCTAGCAGTGGCAAGTGCCCCCGGCTCTGAAGAGGTGCTGGTGGCTCCCACCTGCTCCCCCAAGGACTGCAAGAGCATCAGTGCTTTATTCTTCTGCAGTCCAGATGCACGAGTGGCAGCCAGATACTGGTGGAAGAGAAGGCAAGGGGGCCCAGCAGGGAGACATCGCCCGAGTTGGGCTGTGGACTTCTTTGTGAAGGCCACTTTTGTCCCCTTCGTATCCTAGATTATGGCAGCTCACTGCCAGGTGCTTCCTGGCTCTTTACTGCCTAATGTCTAGATAATGCCCTCTGCGCATACAGGAACCAACTAGACTGGCAGCGGACTCTTGCATCAGCTCTAGGACTGGAAAGGCATCACTGCACCTGGAGGAAGAAGGGCGGGGAGGGAGTGCAGGGCAGGCTGCCTGGTGCAGACACCAGGCTGGCCCTCCAGTGCCTTGCTGTTCCTCTCTGCTGTTCAAGGCCGCTGGTTCACGGTCTCTAATATCAGGACCATTCTGGTAGTTGTTGGCTAACATGTTGGCTAAAGGGTCTAACACTTTCTACATATCCCCCACATGAAAGTACAACCTAGTATTTCCACACAATTGGTTACATACACACACACACTCACTCACACCCATCCATCGGAAAGACACCCAAGTCCACTGGCAACAGGGTCTGGGTCTCCCCCCTTGTTCCCCAAAAGTAGGAAACCATTCTCAGGATCACAGAGAGTGTAGCGGGCTACCTGACCAAGATCTCGCCCTTATCTCATCAGAACTGGAGGAACCAGAACCATGAGATGCCTCCTGGTTTGCTGGCTGGGGAGGAAGGTCCCAGTCACAGGTATTGTCAATGTAGTTCAGCAGGGAGGGTGCTGGTTGAAGATCCTGCAGGAGCTCATGGCTGCAGGTTCTGAGGGCAGCGGATGAAGGAGATGCCCTGAGGCTCCCTTAGTTCCTCGTGAGCCTGAGCACCAGGAGGAGGGGCTGAGCAAGGTTCCATGGGGATTTCTGCACAGCTGTTTGTGCTTTCTGTCAGCCAGGACCACAACTCGGGATGGCAGTATCTCAATATTGCTGCTGTGTTGATAACAACATAATTGATGCAATTAGTAGCAAATTATCTCTATACTTGGCAGCAGCAGAAAGTGTGCCAAACACTGAAATACATCGAGCCCAAAGGCACCTCTGTAGTTCGTGCGTGGGAAGGCAGGCCGTGGAGCCACATCCCAGTAAGACAAACAGAGTTTCCATGCACGTGTCTCTTCCAGTGGGTGCTGGCCCGGCCCGCATGGGCAGAAGCAAGCAAAGGTCCAGCTAGCTGCTTGGTCACACACCATTAAGTTACAGACCCTGGCTGCAAAAACACGAGAGATGCTAGCTAGGATGGAACCCCTGAAATTTTGGTTCCAGCAGCCACTGTGGTGAAGGAAACTGCTCGAGCAACTCTGCAAAGATAACCAAAGGACAAGCTACACTTAAGTTGGAAGCCATCTGTAAGCCCCATGCTCAGCAGTCTCTCCCTCCTGTTCCTCTCCTTCAAAACAAAAAAGCCGAAGCTGCAGAGCAGTCCTGATCAGGAAAGAGGTGCTGAAACAGTTAAGAGGAGCTGTAAACCACCTCCTCCTGCCCCTTTCTCCAGCAAAGCCACACTGCCCCAAGGCTGCTTTGAGAAATGGACACCAGTGAGAGTGAGCCTCATTCTCCCATGCTGTGTTCCCAAACTGGATTGCCTGCAAAAAGGAGCGTGCGCATTGGCCACTGAGTGTCAAAGGCTGCAGGTCAAGCTTTGTTTCCACCTGTGTTCAGAGGCAGAATATCACTGGGCCCCAGGCAGTGGGGCAACAGTGGGACCCTTGCCTGTAAGCCAGTGGGAAGCTTGCCCATTTCTGCGCAGGGTCCTTCTTTAGCAGAAGTGACAGCTTGCATAGCCAAAGAGGGAGCCTTCCTTGCATACTTCTGAGAATTTGTGAGCTAGGCACTACGAAGGCCAGGTTTATCATGGAGGCCCTTCATCCTGTTTCTCCACCCTCTGCAGGAGAAATTGCATGATCAAGGTTTCCACGAGAAAAAATGGCACTGCTGTGCAGCCATCTCCCAGCTCACATATTCCGGTAGGAGAAACTGAAAAAAGAGCAGCCACACACCCAACAATGAAACCAAGACCCGTCCTTTGCATTCTCCATTCCCTCACTTGGAGGATCACTTGATCCTGATACATGTACCATGTGGGGCAAGGCGTCATCTTGACCTTTCTCCCTGCTCTCCATCAAGCAACGCTTTGAGCAAAAACGCAATGTTTGGCAAGCTGCCTCCCACTTCCAGCCTTCTCCTAGGCGAGAATTTGTAGCAAACTCATTTTTGAAATGTATTGCAACAAAAAGATCTGAGATGTTTCACCACAGGGAGCGCAAGTGCTGAATTTTGCATGCAGACACAGAGCAATGCACAATTCAGATGGTTTGCCAAGATGTTGCTTGGCTGCTGCACTGAATAGGGTGGGAATGCAGCAACAGTCTCTTTCGCATAAGGAGCACAAGTGGTTCTGTGGCTCACCTGCAACCAGGTGAGACAGAGGAGATGTGGGCAAATTTCTCATATCACTGCCTCCTGGCTAGGAATGACAGACATAACATCCCAGGGATGGTGGGGAAGGTTATGGGGAAGGGAGAACTTCCAGGGTCATATTTAAACTGGAGCTATAAGGTTCTCATAGCAAAATCTGGAAGGAAGAATCGAACTCTGCAGAGCAACTGTATGCAGGAACAACCCAGCTGTGCTGCTAAGCAAATGAAGTCCCTGGAGCTGGGGGAAATATGCCCTTTGGGGGAAATAACATGGGGACCTGGCTGGATTGCCAGGTGGACAGGTTAATCCATTTTGTGAAACAAACTTGTTAGCTTAACACGGTACCGTACCCAGCAGCCATGCTTAGCATGCACGCTTCCACTAGCCAAAACTGTTTAACCTCATTCTCCTAAGCCACAGTAACAACATTCCAAGCGATGCTCTGTAGCCTTCGGAGTCCAGTGCTACAAAGCCAAACTCTGCTTGGACTGCCACTATCAAGGTGGAGAAACAAATCTAGCAGTTTCAGGAAACAGAACTGCTTTTACGGCAGTCTTGAGCACCACAAATACCATCTCAGTATCATGTCCACCACCACAAAAGCCCTCTAAGCTTGTGAGACTTGGAAGCAGGCTCAGGATGTTAAGTTGGTGACGGCAATGCCAATCCCATCAACACCGTCTTGGGAACGGCAGTTCCCCAAGAGGCTGATCTATCACAGACATGATAACCAAAGACTGTGCACGTGAGCCACACCAGGATGTCTATCAAAGTAGCTTTAGATGCCTGTAAGTGATACTCCCTTTCCAGTGTGCAGCTTCAGTAGAAGCCGCTCCTGAAGTTTGTGTTGCCCAGCAGTGCCTTACGTTCTAGGGGTCCTGTGTCTCAGAGTGCGTTCCTTTCTTGCCCTTAGGTTGGTTGGTTGTTTGTGGATATATTCCCTCCGGCGCACAGAACTCCCTTGGATCCCAAACAACATCAAGTTAGGTGCCAAGTAGATGGTGCTTTTGTCCACCAGCCGTGCAAACAGGAGCAAAAGGAGCAGCGGTGCATTCACAGCTGTGCTGTTTCTGCCCAGACTAGGAAAATAATCCAGTGGGGAGGTGGCCTTGCCAGAGAAAAAGAAGTACTTCCCGTTCACCATGTCAAGAGCAGCCGCATGCACCTGATGCTGGCTGGAAGGCGGCTTGATCCTGCAGGGGAAGCCAGGCGTGGACAGCTTTGCAGAAAGCAAGGCGGTCAGCGCCCAGCCCTCCAAAGATGCCACTGCATTCCACACTGTAGCACAACAGGCACTTAAGCTGAACTACCTTCTCTCCACTTTGCTTCTCGCAACTTCAGCAGACCTACAGAGCACAGCAGGATATTTATGGAAGCACATCAGCAAATCCTCCTTTTTCAGCAGGCCCAGACTGTGTGCACATGTGTCCCCACTCCTCAAATGCAAGAGGGTCGACAACGAAGAGGGGAAAGAGCTTTCCCGACCGGTAAGAGAATACAAGAGCAGCAGGAATATTCCCACCCCACTTACAGTGTTGCATAGCAGTCAGTGCTATCGCTAGGTTTGTCCAGAAAAGACCTGTGTTGAAGAGCCTCCAAAAGGCACAACAGATATAAGCAAGCCCCAGGAACACTTAAGGGTTCAGATAACACCCCTCCGCAGTGTGCTTTTTTATTCCATTATGCTACTAAGCTAGACAGATTCTGTTATTTTATACAGAGACTTAGAAATGACATCATCCAATGAGTGGCTGACATACCTAAGACTATTGGGTAACATTTTCTCCATCTGGCTCATGAGAAGTTAGCTTTTCTTTGCATAACAAGGGGATGAAGGGGGAGTTTACCAGGCTACACTGAGCCATTAGACACTTCATCCCTTCCAGCATTAGAGTGGAAGCAAAAGAAAAACATCCATCTAGAACTCTCATCCCTCCAAAAATAAGGCAGTACATTGTAAGAGGCACAACTGAAAATACCTACTTCTCCAAGACAACTGTTCAGCTGCCACTGAAAAAAAACTATCGACCAAAGAACTGGCCCTCAATGGCTTCCACAAAGAACACACGACGCTGAGCTCCTCTGTTACGCCCAGTACTGGACAGCAGTCTGTATAAACACGTGCATATATGAATCATACTTTGTTATAAATATACAGAAGAGTCCATCCATACAAAAAAGACATAAATAGTTGCTGTTGTGCTCCCGCCCTCCCAGTTCTGTAAACATTTGGCAATACATGTATACACACACATACATATTTACACACACGCACACAGAGATGCACACACGCACACACAGAAAGATTGCTTTCAGCAAACTAATGTGCAAAACATAGCCGCCTCGTATAGGGAACGAGCCATGAGGTATAGTTGTGTTTGTGTGTGGATTACCCGTAAGCTACTTCGGACCTGCTGTTCGGGGCTCCAGCTAAGCTGCGATAGCTGTCCTGAGTTGGCTGGATTCTCCTGACACCCCCCTCCCACCCGCGGAGTGGTTCCAGGTGGGCATCACATCAGGATGCAGCTGCGCTGTTCTCCATATGAGTTGTCCACACGATCGATTTCCTCAATGACCTTGGTGAAGATACCGTGAGTCATCTGTGAGACAGAGGGAGGGAGACCATGAGAGCTCTGTGCAAACGAACGGTCGCCATTGCCTTCACGGCCAGGGTGGGGGGCCTGCAACCTCCAGAGGCTGCACCTCATCTCGGACGGCTGGCTGTGCTGGAAGAGCTGATGCCCAGCATGCGGACAGCCAGTTTCCCTACCCGTCTTTTACGGGCTTGGGGACTTCCTTCCCCAAACTGGTGCCCTCCTGACATTTTGGATCTCACTTCCCATCAGCCCCAGCCAGGCTGGCCAATGGGCATGAAGAACAGGAGTTGTAATCTGAGGCATCTAAGCACTGGTGCAGAACCTCAAGCCTGGGGGCCAGATCCAGGCACCTGGGCCCCTGGTTCAAGATGATGGTGCTTACTTCCCCTAGCCCTGGCCATTTCCACTGGCCATCAACTCTGGGTGGTCTCCCAGTTCCTGTGCAATTCCATGAGGAAGAGATGCCTCTCCTAAGGCTTAGTTATGGGCAGTAAGAGTTCTAAGCCACAACATACTGGTGTCCTGGTCCTGCCAATTTTTGTATCCACCTTGCCTTCCACTTCACCCATCACTGTAATGTAGCTCCCAAGGATGCCTCTGACATGGAATTTGGCCCCTGGAAGGAGCTCTGTACCCCAGGTGGGAGGATGCCAGGTGGGAAAGCTTTCCCTAGGAGGCAGCACATGAGTTTGTCAACACCTGCCATTGCACTGGCTTATGAAGGGCAGGAAAATGTATAGGAAAACCAAGAGTTAACAGAAAACACTCCTTAAGTTCTCTGGGATTCTGGGCAGTGACACCTAAGCAACACCCTTGTACCCATCAAGATTAAACCCACGGCAAATCTTCACGCCACCGTGGAAAGGATTTCCGTGGCATCCGCAAGTGTTGTTTAATGCCTTTTAGAGCACTCCTTTGCCCCAACCCAGGAGGAGATTCAGCACCAGACCTGGTTTTCTTTTGCTGAGGATTCCAAGAACACGGCGCCCCAGGAATCAGCAAGCTTTCTGCCCTCATCAGTCTTCACTTGACGGCTACAGACACAGAAAACAGGAAAGGGGTATAAAAGGAAAGTGGGGAGATGTCATGTCCCCACAATGCTTGACTTGGGCCCTGGCTAAAGAGCAGAGATGAAAAAGTAATACAGATAAATCAGATAGCACTTGGCATACTCTGCATGCCAATGCCTACAATAAAAAGAAGGCAACAATTTGGTGTAGGACAGGTCGCATTTTGGACAAAGACACCTTTCATTTCATAGCATAGCCACTACTTAGGCTGCAATATTTTGATCTTGACAGAGGACAAGGATAAACAGCAATGTGGCCTTGAAATACTGCTGGGCTCCCTGCAGAATATAGGATTCTCCTCTTATTATCTCTGGCAAAAGCATCCTTCATTTCTAATCTTCCAGCTAATGTAGATCACTTGTTTTCCACTTGCCACCTTGAGAACTGGAAGTCTACTTTAAAAAGAGAAACTACATTGAATTTTTCAGGAAGCTGTTCTCAAGAGTCCAAATTTGACATAGAAGTGCATTCCAGAAAAACACTATCCTGATCCTAGGAAAGGCGCCGACAGAATCTATTGTCACATACAACAGGGGCCTGTTCATTCTGTGGAATGTGAGGAATGTGGCAAGATCGGGACTGAACTAGGAGGTAGAGATTGGTACTCACAATGCACTATTAATGTGCACTGGAAAGACTCAAAACTTCTGCACCTGATGCAAGAAAATGCGCAAAAGTAGCTCCCTGTATATTACCAAGAGCTGCACAGAACTGTTCTTTATCAGAAGCTATGTGCGATCCTGGCAAAGCATAATGAAACAATGCTTGGTCAAATATCATTCTACAAGATCAAACAGTTGATCGGCAGTTTCCCACTGCTCCTGGTATAACTCGGATTATACCTAAAGGTTTAAGGAGAGACTGCAGCAATCTGTTCCTGTCCCTGCTCTTGGGCCATATTTCCAGGCCACATATAGTAAGTTCTTACCTTTCTAGTGACAGATCAGCTTTATTTCCAACAAGCACTACAGGCATCCTGCCAAAAAGGAAAGGAACAGTTGTGAAAGTGGCATCCTGCCAACTAAGTGTGGACTCATCCCACAATACATATCATGAGAACTCTGTGATCGGATGCAATGAGTTACCAGCTCCAGACCCAGAGGCGGCTTGGGCACAAGAGTTGGCACTTCGCTTCTCCTGGAAGGACCCACATTTCTGATGGGAGCTGCTCCTTCCCTTGTGTGACTGCAATATTGAAGTTATTTTGGATTATATCATTGCCTGTATCTATGAGATTCCAGGCTGTGAGGTTTTATTGTTATATTAATATCCTACATCTGCTCTCAGGCCTTCCTGGAATTCACACAGGACCTGAAAGCCCTGCTCATTAGTCCCCTTAGCGGTTCTGAAGCTACTCCCTAGGGAAGGAAGTGCACTCTGCACATGTTCAGTGTTGTAACTGTGACCCACCCAGAGTTTTGGCTGTTGGGAGACAGAAAAATGTAATGCCCAAATAAATGCCAGTCCTGCATAGGTTTTGGAAAGGAAAATGGTTCCTATCCTGCTTGACAGGGCAAAGCTCACCTTGTCTGAGGCCAACCCAGAGGAGAGAATGTGGGCCCCATTCCCCAGGCGTTTCCTTTGCAACTATAGGTTTAGGTGCAAAACTGTCCCCACATGAAGTATGTTCATGTACTTCCAACCATAAAGTGCTGTTTCAATTAAAATAATAGATTTACTTTGATAATGGAAAGCATGAGTTTTAAGGATCTGTGCCAGTTGATACAGAACTAGCAAGCTACTGACTGTTTCAGCAATTAAGTACTTAAAAATAATTGTTACCACAATGCAGATGATAGCTTTGTTTCACATATCCTCAAAAGGACTTGCCATCAACCATTAACTGTTTGGAGAAAATCATCAACCTTGTGTGAGTGGCTATTCTACAAGCAATGTTATCCATTCCAAAATCCTTTACTGGAAAAGCGCTGTTACTACACCCTGGGATAACACATACACCTCCCCGTTTTTGATAAGAGCTTTCTCATGCTCGCCTTCTCTAATACCTTCCCTTGGAATGTTCTTGTCCCCATCCCAGTAAATTAACATTTACCTTGTTTTCCCTCTGCTTTCATACAACTTGCTGTGTAGAGACTTTACCACCTGAAAACTGCAAAAGACAAGAGGAAGAATAACAGGGCAACAACTTGGATATGCACACACACCCAGAACAGATACTGCGCAGTGTCTGATCATGTTGACTTTGCACTGGGAGGGAAAGAACATAAAATGATCATTCAGTCTCTCTGAAAGCATTTATCCATTATAGCTGAATGTAAAATGCAACCGGCCAGAAAGGCTTGCACTAATTTGAATGGCTTCATTTAGAAAAGGAAACCGCTCCCCCTCTAAACTGGAAGGTTATGGGGCATTTTGGAAGTGACTGAAGGAACATAGTTCTACAAGCAGGGCTGAAATCAAGCCAAGCAGGACCAGGACCAGATGAACTGTCCCAGGTTCCTTTGCAAGTATTTGCAGTATGATTTTGTTCCCTTGGTCGCCTCCTGGGCCAGGGCAATCACCACTGTGTTTCCAAGGAACCTCACTGCGCAAGCGCTTCTGAGCTGCACTCTTAACCCGCCAGCCTCTGGGCTGCCTTACCTCTTGAGAGATGTGACGGAATACACCAGTACGTAGCCATGGATGCCAATGATAAAAGAGTGAGGCAAGATAGTGTATTCATCCTGGACGAAAACAAGAGGACAGGGAAGGACCTCCAGTCAAACACATGTCATGCCAGGGCATCTACGGGCCATTCTCAGGACACTCTGATGCAGGACGGGGCCCTTTCAAGGCCACAGGCAGGCAGGCATATGACCACGGTGTCCTTCGTCCACCGGGATGGAAGCAAACCGCAGCACCACACACACATATCCCATGCTCCACAAAGTGACTGCTGCCCAGGCCAGGTAACATTCAACTGGACCAGTGCATCCTAGAACGAGGTCCCTCTTTCATCACCTTTTACAGCTGTGCCTTACCCCCCAAAGCAGCAGCATAGAGGTGCAAGCTATTCATTTCCCAGGCCATGCTGAGTGGGGGGAGCACTTGCATCCCAAGGTGGACTATTGTAAGTAAAGAACAGTTCCTTCTCTTACCTGCCCTGCTGTGTCCACCAGCTGCAGGTGGAATTCATCTTTCCCCAGCATCAACATTTTGTTGTAAGCTAAAGAGGGGAGGCAAGGGGCAACAAGGTTACTGAGGTACCGCTGCACCCACTCCAAGTTATATCTTGGGCTCCACCACAAAGACCTGCCCTTGAAATACTCCCAGCCTTCTGGTTTCTCTTCCTTTCTTCCTGCCATTTCAGGCCTTCACCTGCCAATAGACCAGAACCCTTCCCTTCTTCCTTGCCCAATGTTTGTGCGTATTGGTCACCACTGCCACCCCCAGACAAGCAAGTGTTTCACTCCAACCTGGGACAAAACGGTAGGGAGTTATGGCAGTAGCCTGTCCTTCCAAATAAAGCCAGAAGTGAATTTCTCACCCAGCAGAGGAACTCAAGAGAACATGCATGTGCAGACAGGACTTGGTTTGTTGGGGCTTTATGAAGCACAAGCGCCACTGCCATGTGCATGATCTATATGCTTTGAAAACAGGGATGGACAGTCACAGGAGGGAAAGAATTAAAAAGCATGCTGCAATTATTGTGGGCAGGGGGTGGGGGTAGAGCACAGGCAAAGTTGCCCTGAACAAAACAATTCCACAACTGTACGCATGTTTTGAGAGAATTTGCTCCAAGAGAATGGGCTTCTCACAAAGCAGTTGAACAACAAGCTACCTGCAAGAAGCCCCAGAAAACTTCATGGAATAGTAGAGTTGGAATGGGACAAGAAGACCATCAAGTCCAACCCCCAGCTATTAGTTCTAGCATCCCTTAGGAAGCAGGCGACACATTAGCTATAAACCTAGTTTACATGTAACAACGACCCAGACTACAGGTTGCATATGGGTTGTCACTGAATCCCCAGGTTTTCATTAACCAAAAATAACCCAGAGTTGACAATCCAACAGCAAGCCATAGGTTCTCTTCCTGGGTAAAACCCATAGTTAAATCAAAGCTCAGCATTCACATGTAATGAGAATGCACAATTCAACAATAACTCATGATTTAACTGCAATCCATAGTCTGGATTATTATTACATGCGGGTTGTACATAGTTTTCCTCAAAACCACTTGTCAACACACCAATGGCAAGCACATTTTTGTCATGGTAAGACTGGCTGGTGGGGGTGGGGCAATGCAGAGGATTACGTGCAATCATGAATTACGCTTAATTATAGCAAGTTAGGCAACCCTAATTATTCTTACAATGCCTGAGCAGCAGATTTAGGAAGAGATGCACTGCTCAGCGGAAAGGCACATTTACTAGATTCCTACTGGCTGGCTGGTGGAAGTAATTACTGGTTCCCAAACTTGACCCAATATATTGACCCCTGGCTATTGTGACCTCTTGGTATAGAAGCCAAAGGAACAAAATCTAGCATGGATCATCAACAGACAGCTGCTGCCACCTCGGCCGCTCCTAGGCAAATGCGCAGGTAAATCTGCAAGGATTTCTTTCTGCACGAGTCTTAACCATTCTGGGCAAACAGGAGGCAAGCGCTCTGTTCTCACCCAGAAAGTGGGACAGATTTATAGGTGAACCTGCTCTCAAAATACAACCCCACACGCTCCTCGGTATGAAGTGTGTGTGAAGGGCACCCCCCCTTTGAAAACAGGAAGGGACTGCTGTGGTGGGGGAGGGTCTGTGGCAAGGCAGGAAATGAGTGCAGAGGTGCTGTCGAATCTGTTTCAGTCAAAAATGCTCCAACAAGCTGAGAGGAGATGCCTCACCCCGGCCAAACCGCTCTGGAGGACTGTTTGATTTTGACATCACCTGAAGCGCAAGGAACTGCTCCAGGAGAGGGTTGCTGCAGCTGGCCCCAGGGCTTGGGGGCACACAGTTGTGGCCAGCTTCTCCCTTTCCTGGCTTTTCAGTCACAACAGGCAGCAAGCAAGGTACTTCCTAATCTCATTCAAACGTGCTTTCCCGCTGTCAGATCACCAAGCAAACATACCTTTAAGTAAGGCTGAAAACACCTCCAGCATTGCTGGGCACGTGGCCATGAGGGTCAGGGTGGAGCAATGGCTCGAATAACGGACTGCGAACTCCCTGAAACTCACCACATGGCCTTAATTAAGCCCATCTTGGACTCTCAGCCTAAACTACTCCACAGAGTTGTTGTTAGGATACAGAGAAGGGTCATGGATGTAATGCTGGGCTCTTGGAAAAGGCAGGATAGACAGATGATCCAAGGCAACAATGGAAGCTGCGTGTCTGTAGCCCAGCAGCCCACACTGGAGATCCCCCGGACCAAATCTAGTCTACAAAGGGCTCTCAGCTGGTCCAGAGCCCTGCGCTGCTTCCACCCACCCAGCTGCCTGTGCCCCGTATCCATTTCTGTTCCTCTTGCTTGCATCCCACTCTGCACCCCCAACATGTCCTTTTTTGGAAAGGGCAGAAAGGAATGCACAGGCAGGCGTGCCCTTCTTTCACTGCCGATGCGACCATCGCATATGTTTTTCCACTTTGCTTTGCCCTTGGGTTGCTATGATGTAATGGTGATTGTGAGGAGGAGAGAGGGGACCTCCTTCCTGCATAGGGCAAGGACCCCAGGAGTGGGAGTGCAGATGGCGAGAGGGCATGCCGTGGTGGCAGCAGAGCGACAGGACAGGACGTGTCCCATTTCCTGCAGCAGCCAGTGCTGGCCTGAGCCCCTGGCCCGTCCTCATGAAGGTGGACCTGCATTTATCCCTTCGCAAAAGACTAGCTAGACTGGAGCTTCTCAGTCTCTCTGTCTCCAGCCACATCGTGAAGATGACATTGTCCAGCACACAAGGACCGCAATCTGATGCAGAGTTACTTCGGAGTAAGCCTGCTGAAGTAACCACAATGTACCTCAAGGAAATGGGCAGCAGCAAGGGCTTCCGGGCACAACAGCTTCTGAGCTGTGGAAACAAGGGGCGGCAGCCTGGAGCGTTCCAGTGGTTTTGGCATGCAGCCCCCATAATCCGTGATCACTGGCCATGATGGCTGTCACCGGGGCTGGGGGAGCTGTAGTCCAAGAATTCCAGAAGGTACCAGGTCACCTGTCCCTTCACTGGGGGATAGCTCACCATATACACATATACAAGCCACGTAACTATTCTCCCTTGTAGAGATAATTGCACAGTATTACTTTGTATATTGGCTTCTATACCAAGAGGTCACAATAGCCAGGGGTCAATATATTGGGTCAAGTTTGGGAACCATTATTGTTTAATTACTATAAGTTATCATGAACTTCTTGGGCAGAAGGGAAAAGATTAAAGAAATGCGCTAAAGAAGTAAATGCAGAATTCGCTCACAATATGTGCTCTCCAGATTAACTTCCCTAAAAAAAGACACACAGGAGTGACATGGCTGGAAATGCTTTTGGTAAAGGCAGGATCGAGCATTCTTGCAACGGCAACCAGATATTCACAGATATCTTCAGTTGTTTCCTTTGGCAAATACTTTAGGTTATTTTGTCCTGCCTATGGGCTTCTTTTTCTCTTGTTTTCACAATCCAGGGTCCAGTAAACACTTAAGTACAACACTTACTGCTTTCCACCGTGGGGTCATAGCACTCCAGAAATTCTCCGTCAATGAACTGATGAGCAAGTGAAGTTTTACCTGAAGAAGAAAGATGTGAAAGGAGCTGCAAATGTGCTCTTCTGATCTTAGCAGCCAACAAACACAGCATTTAAGGAAAACAGAAAAACCATCTTGCCATTTTTCCATTGAAAACTGCACAGGCAGTTTAGGGCCGTTCCACTTGGCAAGGGGATACTAAAGTATGAGCTCTGAGGTGAGAGGAAGAGAATGACAGTGACACTATTTTATTTTTAAACCACTAGTGTTCTTGGCACTTAATGTGGGAATGAGACAAAACTCCAGCATCAGGGGCTGGAGATAATCTTGAAATGGTTCTTCAAACTACTGCAAAATAAAATAGATTAATGCAATATTTTAGGAAAAATTAAATAATAAAACTACCTACATGTCATTGGCATGACAGAAGACATGGAAACAGTCAGTTGAGCTGAAACTCTATTATGAAAAGTAGTGGGAGTTAGGGTTTTGATTTCTGGAGGTTTCTAAAGGATTTCTTTTTAATCTTTGTGCAGAAATGTCAAAGACTGTAATGCTTTCATTTCATGACTTTTTGGGTCCAGGAGATGTCTTGTAAGTGGCTGCATATGAGGGGGATGTGTGTGCTTATATCAGCCAACTTTCATGCATATGATAAAGTGAGGTCTATTACACAAAAGTTTCTGCCACAATTATTCATCTAGTGTTTAAGACAAGTGAGTCAATCTGGTCCCTTCAGATGTTTTGAACTACAAATCCCATAAGTGTCAGCCATGTTCAATGGTCAGGAATTACAGGAACCGCAAACTAAATCATCTGGAACCTACCCCCAGTTTAAGATGTTACAAAACTCTTCATTGTTGCTAGCACAAGTAGAAAGTTAGTCTTAGCAACATCATTTGCTTCCTCTAATTTTTAATTTTAGCAGACCAATAACAAATGTGTCATTCATTTTATCAGTCCGAAAACCAGTAAGATCCAATTTGTCCTCTATTACCTTGAGGTTTTCTTTCTTTTCAAGAAATTAATCTTGTAAATTTACAGGATTTGTAATTTTGTAAGATTTGTACAAATGTACAAAACTTACAAATATAGAAAGCTTACAAATATACAAAACAAATCTACTCAGATACGCTGGGCGAAATAGGGTTTTCTCCCAGGCAATGGAGTGCAAGATTGCAGTGCTGCCATGTCTCAGCTCTCACAGCATCAATCCAATGAAAGTGGGCAAGCCCTCTTTGTTCAGAGAAAGACAATCAATATTTCAACAACTTATAGAATGGCTAGTACTATTTAGAAGTCCTCACCATTCACTTGTTGACTGAGAAAATCCAAGGCTGTTACAGAATCCTGGATTATGTTTCCTGTTTCTACCTATTCTGTGTACATATCAAAATGAATCCACAATATATGCTAAACACCTTACATTTCTATCACTGATTGTTCAGTCAATGTTATTTTATTTAACACCATGTGCTGTACTGTTCTTCCATACTATTTCTGGATATACATATGCAGTCTGTAGGATTCTCCTCTAAAATCTAGTGTGGGATCACTCTGTTCTTGGAAACACATAGAGCTGCTCATGGGATGCATCTAATTAGGCTTCAGCAGCTGGCTCCTAGGGGGTTCCTACCTTAGCAAGAATTGGGAAAAACAGAAATTTTAAGAACTTGGATTTTTGCTTTTTCTGGAACTTGCCAAGTGGAACACCTGCATATGGCTTCCCTGTGCCCAGTGGGTCATCCAGAGTGGAGAAAGAAACAAGCAAGCCCCAATATTGCACATTATAATGGAAAACAAAAAAAGATCAGGCTATAGTTTTGCTTGTCCCTACTTCCTGTGACAGAAGACTTAGATGCTTCCAGTTGTCGAAGGATTCAGTGAACTAGACAACTATGTAGTACTTAATGCTACCCAAGGAAGCACCAGAAGAAATAAGCAGATCTTCAAAGGTGTGTTACACTCAACCAAGATGGTTTTCAGGCTCCTGCTACTTTTCTACCACCACTTGAAGAGTTTTGGCTTATATATACACCTGTGTATGAAGTATGCACAAACTGAGTCAAACCAATTCATATTAACTCTCGAATATGAGGGGTTCTTCACACATCACTTGGTTTGCATGTTTTTATTTTAGCCTTGAGAAAAGAGATTTATACAGCACACCTACAGCAGGTAACATGTAGCCCTGCAGGTGATTTGACTAACAACTCCCATCATCCATTACCATTGGCTATGCTGGTTTAGGCAAATAGGAAATGTAGGTCAACATTTCTGGAGGACCACAAATTGTCCACCTCTATACTACACAGTTAAGATAGTTAAGTACATTTTCAGGTTCAGATTGACTAAGAATTGTTTAATGGGCAGAAAAGCTCTGGTTCTTACCCTTGAACCAGAAATTTAGTGTTTTATTCCTTACTGTCAAAGCTGGAATAAATATTCTCAGCTCCTTAGTACTAGTTTCAAATGTTCTGGAATGAAGGCAATCTGTGGATTCTTCCTACCCAGCTTTCTATAATTTTCTTCTCATTTTCACAAATCACTTAGCGAACAGCAGCACATTCTTCTTCTTTCTAACTGTCTGGGCTTTAGGTACCAAAAAAAGTAGGGGGATAACATGCCCAAGAAAAGGAAAATCAACAGAAATGTGAACTCACTGCCTTTCCCTATTCAAGAACAATTCCCCAAGGCAACATCGTTGTGTGTTCTCAACAGCTTCCTAATTTGCCAGTGACAGTATGGTCCAGAGGCAGTGATGCTAGGCTTGGTAAGCAAGATGATGTGCAATGCAAAACTCTGTTTTGCATTAACCAATATCAGCAGCTTTGCTAGGGCCCCTGTCTATTATAGACCTGTTCAAACAAGGCACAGATGGCTGTATTAGAAGGGCCAGCAACCAACACGTACAAATTGAAGCCCAACATACACAACTGTCCCTAAAACATCAAAATGTTAAACCCATATAGTCCAAGAAAAAATCCACCCAGCTCTTTAAACAGGTTCTCATGCACAGGACATCAAGGTGATTCTTCCACATGCTCCATTCCCTAGGAAAGGGCTGCTTGCTTGATTTAAGGAAATAAGCTATTTCACCATTTGCCATTCTGGGTATTACCTCTGACCTCTGGCCATTTCCTCCTGCTGCATGTGGATTAATAGAAAACAGCCCCTGGGCGCCCTCTTGCATTCATGTTCTGGGGCAGCGTGGGAGGGGAGGTCAGAGCAGCAGGGACTTGTACATGTGCAAATAGCTCCCAGAAGAGGAACTAGCAAAGGTCTGGCAAAAGATGCCCACTAGCTCCGCTTCGCCCCACAAGCCACTACGGTCTGAAAGAGCAAAAAGCACCATCTGCGCCGTTCCAGTTCACAAGAAATAGCTAAGCAGTTAGAAGGCATGCTCTGTTGTAACTACATCGGTGTTGGCCCCACCACACCCCAAACAATTTATAACCGAAGTATAAGAGCGTGCAGAGATTTGCTAGCGATGATTTTCTCAATAGCACTCTGTGCTCCCCTTGCACTTACCCCCACCCCAAACTGACCAGGGTTTATAACAGGCTGTGCAACAGGGCAATAGAACCAGCGAAGGGAGACAATGATCTGCCTCAGGATGCATAAACTTCAAGCCCAGGAAGCTCAGAGACAGGAAACCCGCAAGGCAGAGAGTAGCGCAACAACCCATCCCCACACACAGGCCACTCCGAGAGACAAAAGCCACCTTTTCAGCACTACCCCGTTTCGCCCCTGACTGGATCCAGCAAATTCACTTCCAAGGATACAAAGCAACGCGCGGCGGCGGCGGCGAGCGGAATATAAAGAACCATTGTGTTGTTACTCCTCTTGTTTCCGAAGTAACCGCTGCAGACCCAAACGTTTCCCAAGGCCCCTGCAAAGTCACTACATCCGATTCGCCTCACGATTTGAAACTTGCCTTAATCTTGACATCTCCGAAAAGCAGCTGCCACGCCTGGCTGGCTTCCTCCTAACCACCCCCAGAAAGCCAGCGCCCCCAGCCCTATCCCGTCCCACCCCGGGTAGAACCGCCTCCCGCGCAAGCATTCTGCCGCCGACCCTCCTCCCAGGCTGCGAGCGCGGGTCGCCTTGGCCGCAGCCCTCCTCGCACGGACAACTTCAACGCCCACGCACACCAGACCGGCGGGCGCACCTCGCCCAGGGATCCCGACCCAGATGCCGCCCTCGCACGGCTCACCAGCCGCCCAGCGCCTTGGCCGGGCTCCTTACCCCCTTTCCGGTTCCTCCGCCTCCACCCAGTCGCGGCCACCCTTCCACCCCCGCCGTCAGCCCGCTCCAAAGCCGCCTCGGGGCTCCACTGGCACAGTCCCCCGCCTCACTTTGTTCCACAGCCCCGACCACCCCACGTGGTCCCCACCCCAGCCTCTCCACGTGCCCTTCACCGCTCCCGCTACTCCGAGCGGTCCGCCCAGCCTTCGTGCGCCTCCCCGCGAAGACCCGTCGCCCCGGCACCCCCTGCCACGTGCCCCCCGCGGGCTGCACCCCTCCAGCCTTCCCCGGCGCGCGCGCGACTGACCCACAGAGCGATATCCCAGGATCACGACCTTCCGGTAGCGCACCAGCGGCATTGCACGGCAGCGACTCCAGCCTTGGCGTGGGGAGGGAGGGAGGGAGGGAGGGGCGGGCGGTGGGTTTGCGGGCGGTGGGTGCCGCAAGGCGGGCGGGCCGAGCGATAAAGAGCCCGCCGGAGTAGAGCCGCGGGCGCCGCAACTACAAACGCCCACGTGACCACAACACTGGCCTTAGAGCAGCCGCTCCTCATTGGCCTGGAGGAAAGAGGCGCGTGCGCGCTGCGGATGCCTACGGCTCCATTCATGAAAAAGCAAAGATTGGAGCGGCTCGCGTGGCTTGCACAAATACACAAGTGAGCGTAAAGCGCGCGGCGGCGGCCGTCACTCTTGCGAAGCGATGCTTCGCCGCGGCTATGTCTTTCCTACCATCCTGCGCGTGTATGCTCGGGAGTAAACGCCAAGCGAGGCTTCGATTCTAAATAAAACTGCGGAGTAAGTGTCTTTCGTCTAGGGTTGTGCCTTCCTTGGGAGACAGGGAATTGTCTTTAGAGGCTGGAATGAGCTTTTATCGTTTGTTTTGTACGTCGAACGCC